GATTGGTAGGGGAGCCTAGCAGGGAAGACGACAGAGCAGAAATGGCAGGAGTTTCAGGGGGGTAATTCGGGAGACAGCAGAAATTCATTCCAAGGAAGAAACAACATGCTAAGGGGAGAACGAGGCTACTACGGCTGACAAGGGAAGTCAGGGGCAGCATAAAAGCATACAAAGTGATGAAGGTTAGTGGGAGGCCAGAGGATTAGGAAGCGTTTTAAAAACCAGTAAAGGAAAACTATAAAAAGCATTAAGGGGGGAGAAGATGAAATATCAGAATAAACTAGCTAGTGTAGTATAAAGGAAGGTTGCAAGAGTTTCTTTAGGTATTTAAAAGGTAAGCGAAAGGCAGGAGTGGACATGCGTCTGCTGGAAAATGAGGTTGGAGAAGTAGTAATGGGGAATAAAGAAATGGTGGAGGAACTGAGTAGGTACTTTGTATCAGTTTTTACAGTAGAAAACACCAGCAGCACACCAGAACTACGAGAGTCAGAGAGATTAATTTAAGATATCTGGTCAGCATGGACGAGTTGGACTGAAGAGTCTGTTTCCATGCTGTACATCTCTGACTCTGTAGCAGAGGTGAGTGACATGGCGATCATTAAGGAGATGATGCTGGGAAAGCTGAAAGGTCTAAAGATGGATAAATAACCTGTACCAGATGTATTACGCCCCAGACTTCAGAAGGAGATGGCTGAGGAAATTGTAGAGGTATTGGTGGTGATCTTTCAGGAATCACTGGAATCAGAGAGGGGCCTAGAAGATTAGAAACTGGCTAATGCAACACCCTGTTTAAGAATGGAGGGAGGCAGAAGACAGGAACCCATAGGCTGGTTAGCTTGCGTTCAGTTGATAAGATTTTAGAATCTGAGATTGTACCTGGAAGTGCATGGTCAAATAGGGCTGAGTCAGAATGGCTTTGTCAAGGGGAAGTCATGTCTGACAAATCTGTTAGAATCCTTTTGAGGAGGTACAGTGGCTTGGTGGTTAGCACAGTTGCCTCACAGCGCCAGGGACCCAGGTTCAATTCCACCCTTGGGTGACTGTCTGTGTGGAGTTTGCATGTTCTCCCCGTTTCTGCCGGGTTTCCTCCCACAGTCCAAAGATCCACGTTAGGTGGATTGGCTATGCTAAATTGCCCATCGTGTTCATGGATGTGCAGGCTAAGTGGGCTAGCCGTGGTAAATGCAGGGTTACGGGTTTAGGGTAGGGGGTGGGTCCAGGTGGGATGCTTTTTGGAGGGTTGGTGTGCACCTGTTGGGCTGAATGGCCTGTTTTCACACTGTAGGGATTCTGAGTTCTATTCTGTGCGGTAATGAGCATGTTAGAGAAAGGAGAGCCAGTGACTGTGATCTGTTTGGATTGGCAGAAGGCCTTTTGACAAGGTGCCGCACAGGAGGCTGCTAAATAAGAGAAGAGCCCATGATGTTAGGGGCAAGGTACTGGCATAGATAGAGGATTGGCTGACTGGCAGAAAGCAGATAGTAGGGAAAAAAGATGGCAGCCGGTGACTAGTGGAATTCTGCAGGGGTTAGTGTTGGGTCCAAAATTATTCGTGTTGTACATTAACGATCTGGACGAAGGAGCTGAAGGCATTGTTTGCAGATGACATAAAAGTAAATGTTCAAGCAGGTAGTATTGAGTAAGCAGGATGGCTGCAGAAGCACTTGGACAGTCTAGGAGAATGGAAAAAGAAGTGGCAGATAGAATGCAATGAGGGAAAGTGTGATGTAATGCACTATGGTAGGGAGAATAGAGGTGTAGACTATTTTCTAAATGGGAAAAGGCTTTGGAAATCTGAAGCACATCTTGGGAGCCCTAGTTCATGATTCTCTTAAGGTTAACATGCAGGTTCAGCTGGCAATTAGGGAGGCAAATACAATTTTTGCATTCCTTTCAAGAGAGCTAGAATACAAGAACAGGGATGTACTGCTAAGGCTGTATAAGGCTCTGCAGAGTCAGACCACATTTGGAATATTGTGAGCAGTTTCGGGCCCCATATCCTAAGGAAGGATGTGCTGGTGTTGGAGGGGATCCAGAAGAGGTTTACAAGAACGATCCTTGTATGACGAGCAATTGAGAACTCTGGGTCTGTACTCGATGGAGTTTTGAAGGATGGGGGCGATCTGAGTGAAACTTACGGAATACTGAGAGGCCCGGATAGAGTGGATGTTGAGAAGTTGTTTCCGCTAATAGGAGAGACAACAGCAGAGTGAAGGGACACCTCCTGAGAACTGAGATGAGGATGAATCTCTTCAGCCAGAGGATGGTGAATCTGTGAAACTCATTGCCACAGAAAGCTGTGCATTAAGATCATTGAGTGCATTTAAGACCAAGATTGATAGGTTTGTATTTGGTAAAGGAATCAAAGGTTATGGCGAGAAGACAGGAGACTGGAGTTGAGGAAAAATATGAACCGTGATTGAATGGTGGGGAATTCTTGTTCCTATCTCTTACGGTCTTATAATTTTTGGTTACTGTACCAGGGGTGTGTTTTGGATACTGCACAAAATTTGTTGATTTTTCTTTTCAATTTATAAATATTGTGACGATGCTGTCACTTTAAAAAGGTTACTTTGTCCTGGATTTTTTTTGAAGAGATGTTTTAAAGGCAGAGTTACCGAAGTAATTACTGGAGACGGCCTAAGTCAATAGTTTAGGAGGCCTTTAGGTTTTTTAAAATGGTTGTAACAACGGAAGTTCTCACAGATCACGTTTTTTAGTTTTTTGTTTTGCTGTAGCAGTCAGAAGCTGTTTGGGTCCCAGAAGACTTGGTGCTTCAGGAAATGATTCCTAACTGCTACATTCTCTGAAATCTCTCTTGATGTTGTTTCCTCATGAATTGGAAAACTGTATGTAAGAACCTGTGTCTGAATTTATCTTTTTGCCAAGGGGTGTGTTTATAGGATGTTACTATATTGGAACAGGATATTACTATATTGGATAGGTACGGTATCTATCTATTATTTGGTTAGGTTTTCAATTGTTAAGCTATTGTGATGTCGTCTTTCTTTTGTTTGTATTTTAATTGTAGTGTTTAAGTAAGTTGTGTTTTGCTTAATGTCAAGTAGTTCGACCAGTCACATCACATCTGGAACAAGTACTTCATACCTACCTTTAAAATAAGAAAAAGTTAGGATCTAGGCTATCTTAAAATATTTTGAAGGAGTCTGGTCTGGTCCATAACAATATATCCGCGATTCATTGGATTATGCTTTTACTGTGTTCACGAATATTTCAGACCGGGATATGACTTGTCCAATAACAACATCAGCTGGGACCACAACATATGGAAAGCTGTAAAACTCATAACTATATAAATCCACTATTTTTAGATCGGTAATTATTCCAAAAACTGAATAGATTGTGTACCCGAGTGATAAAAGCTTAAAAGGTATTTGTAACTAAGTAGAAGCCAATACAGAGATAGTAGGAACTGCCGATGCTCGAGAATCTGAGATAACAAGGTGTAGAGCTGGATGAACACAGCAGGGCGAGCAGGAAGGCTGACTCTTCGGGTCAGGACCCTTCTTCAGAAACAGGGGAGGTGAAGGGGACTCTGAAACTCTCTATTTATTTCAGAATATGTTATCTCAGAAGGCAATACAGTTTTGGAAGAAACAAATATTGCTCACTGAAATCATTGAATTGTTTTTGAAAAAAGTCTTAAACCAAGTGGATGTTGTAAAAACCCTGTTGGATTATTTGACCCTTGGGAGAACCTTTGATAAAGCTTTGTGTGAAAAGGCTGCTGCACAAATATGGGATTGGGGCATCCTATATAAAACTTGTCGGTGGATAAAGAATTTCGTAAAATAGAGGAAGCAACAGGTACTGGATATCTAACACCTTGAGTGTTCACCCTGGAAACTGCTAGCCTGTTTTGATTAAAATTACATAAATATAAATGAAGACCTTGGGTCCTCTTTCTCATCCTCTGTTCCCAACACTCCCTGAAGGAAGAAAATGGACTTTTTGCAAAAAAAAATTCTACAGATAAGTAGAAATCTAGTTTTGAGACTTTCAGGGCCAATTAATTACCCTTTAGCTTAGCCTGACTTGTGTAATTCAAGAAGTGGAAGTGATGAGTTCACAAGCATGTTAGTCAGATAATTGGCTTTCCAGTAAACCCCTACTGGAAATCCTTGCATTGTTTTGACAGCAGTATTGAAATCAGCTGCAATGGATTGTATAGAAGAATACACTTGTTGGTTACACAAGTTCAGTCACTTAGACGAGGTGCCAGATGGTTATTGCTGGTCGAACTACATTGTGAAGGTGAGGAGGAGGAAGAGTAACTGATGAGACCAGTTGTCTGGTGTTTGAAAACCTTGTTCTGAACATTGTGTGTCTCGGCAAACATTTTTCCCACAAAGTCATACAGCATGGAAACAGATCCTTTGGTCCAGCTCGTCCACACTGACCAAGTTTCTCAAACTAATCTAGTCTCACTGCCTACGTTCGGACCATATTCCTCTAAACCTTTCCTATTCATGTACCTACTTACCATTGTTTCAAACTTTTCATTTGAATTAACTTATCAGCCAAACTATGACCTTTTGAGATTGTAGCAGAATTTGCTTTGATTTTTAGGCGACACCGGCAAAACAGTATTTGTTGTCCACCCCTAGAAACCCTGAGAGCATTGTGGGATGAAGATGCCAGCCCACAAAGTAACAATCAGTAAATGAATTAAACCAGGATTTAACTCATTCCAGAATCGTAACCGTTTGTTTGTTTTGTGAAGTGGAGCAGGACACTGAACTCTGTGTTAATTATTCAGTTGCCTGGAAGCTAGAACTAAAAATAACAAATGTGTTGTGAATCTGCTAACTATGATGTTGAAAGGTATTTCAATTCTGACTCAAGACATCTAATTTCTGGGATGTTGTCACGTGTTCTATGTACTTTGTATAAAAGCATTGTATTTCACGATAGTTTTCATTTTATTTTTTTCATTTGGTGTGAAGTGACCGTTTCTAATTTCCTTTATGCCAAATCAGGAATTCATCAGTGTGTGGGTGAGAGATCCCAGAGTCAAGAAAGAAGATTCATGGCACTCTTATGTAGATTATGAAATTTGTGTTCATGTAAGTATATTACTTTTAGCAGTGTTCACTTCTGGAGATAACACAATTTTAGGAAGATTTTGCCTAAAAGATAAAGTTAAATATTAATTCAAAAACTTAACTTGTTAGGTTAACTTGTTAACTTAGATATTATGATTGCCGCAATTAACTCTTTCGTGTAAGAGTGCATTTACTAAAGGTTGATGTGTGGCAATTTAAAATTGCTATTCTGACCTCCAAACATAGTAAAAGGAGATTTAAGACCACCACAAGTGGGAGTTTAAGTTGTTTTTTTTTTTAAATATTAAAAATGTCTCATTATCCACTGGCCTGCTTGAGGGTTTTGGAAACTTGTTTTTAAATCTCTTTTTGGATCTTGGAAAAGTGAATGGGCCTGCCCCTTCTTTTGTACCTTCCTGAGTAGCTAATGTTTCAGAAGATCTCTGTACATACAGTTAGTCTCTCTCAGATCCTATTTGAAACTGTGTGCTAATGAGATGTAATATTGCTCTCCAAGCAACTAATTTTCCCTTTTTGAATGCTGTCACAACATACTTCATTTTTTCCACTTGTTCTCTGTTTTAAACAGTTCCTTAGCTTTCTGTATGAGCCCATTTCCAAAATAGTCTGTCTCAAGATGGGTCACTAATCTTCCTCTTGTCATCATATGCTTAGTAATATTTATTCTGAATTCATAAATATTTATCTTTTTCATGAGGAAGGGCAGTCAGTCAAAATGTAATTTATAATGCAGTTTATGCATTAGCAATTAAATTTAAAAAAAGTTATTTGTAGAGATTTTCCCTTGTTTAATGTGATACTTAGAATCCATATAGTGTAGAAGCAGGCCATTCAGCCCATTGAGTCCACCCAGACCCACTCCCTACCCTAACCCTGCATTTCCCATGGCTAATCCACCTAGCCCTCACTCCCTGAACATTATGGGCAATTTAGCATGGCCAATCTGCCTAACCTGCACATCTTTGGACTGTGGGAGGAAACTGGAGCACTGGGGAAAACCCACGCAGACAGAGCAAACTCCACACAGTTACCTGAGGCTGGAATCGAACCCAGATCCCTGGTGCTGAGGAGCATAATATGAAGTTCGTGTCACTCTTTTTTTTTATCTGAGATTTGATGCATTTTGGCTTCTTTACAGACTGATCAAGGAGAAAGCAAAGAAAAGAACTGTCTTCAGGTTTAGATTTCAAAATAACACCAGTGTATATTACCACGTACAGCAGTGCTTAGTATTAATCATTGACATATCAGGCTCTTGCCTATACTTCTATTAGGTAAAGATTAATCAATTTTCTTTGTGTGTTCATGTCCATGTTGTCATCGTATCTGGTGCAGAATTCCAGACTTGGGAGATTTTCTAGCTCTGCCCACATTATCTATTTACGATCTGTGATGCAGCTCCTTGTCATCATCACAAGGGTGCTCCTCCGGGTCTGAACACTCTTGCACAACATCCAAAAAAACACTCTTTTTCATCTTTAGGGTAAATTAAATAGGTTTTTCTCTTGGTATCAGACACATATTATTTCTGGCGTAATATAATATACATAAATATTATTAGGCATGAGTAAACCTAGTGGTTTAAAAATGATTTTATTTCAATGTTCAAGATACCAATTCTGATCATATTTCAACTAATGAATGAAATGCCTGAGGAGTGATGATCGCAGTCACGGGATGAGTGTCTGGGCTACAGGCCTGTTGTTATGTGATTGTTTGGGCCGTCAGTTTCATAGCTATCTGGGGTTAGAGTAGATTTTGATCCCTGTAACTTTTCCTAGGTGACAGTTTAGCTAAATAAATTGGAACCTTCCAAAGAGTCCGCCTCTAATTCAAAGTTAGGGTTTGCAAATTTTTTTTTTGGAAGGATTCCGTTGTAGGGTAATGGTTCATTGGAAGTTAAAACTTCCTGAATAATTATTGCCTAGTCAGCGTGTCAGAACCTCCTAACAGGTCCCAGTGTGTGCCTTTCAGAACATGTCCAGTCTCTGATTATCCGGAGACCAGAATGTTGTCTTCGACAATTTTCCTGCCTTTGACATGTTTTAAATTTAACTCTTAACGAGTGTGGAAAACTGTCATTTCACTGCTTGCTGTAACTTGCTTCAAATTTTCTTTCTAACAGACTAATAGTATGTGTTTTACAAAGAAGACCTCCTGTGTCCGAAGACGCTACAGAGAATTTGCTTGGCTTAGGCAACGACTTCAAGACAATGCTGTATTGATGTAAGGTTTCATTTTTGCTTCGATTTTAAAAATCAGCCTGTTTTGCACAGTATTCAACCTCAGGGCAGAAAGAAGACTTGTCAAAATTTTAATGCTGCCTTTAGACAGATGTTCTCTCTCTCTCTCTCTCTCAAAATATTTAGTTATTGTTGAACCTTTGGCATTTTGACTGTTAGTAGAAATGGGCAGGATAAAACATGAGTTTTTTTGCACAGAATATGTAGTACAGAAACGGGCCATTTAGTTCATGTAATGTTTATGCTGCAAATGATCCTCATCCCATTTTGTTTCAGCGAATGCTTATTTCTTTCTCCCTTGTCTTTATCTCGTTTCCCTCTATTTCAACTACTCCTTTGTAGTGAAGTCCACATTCCTGAATATTTGTATAAAATGGTTTCTCCTGCATTTGCTATTGGATTGATTAGTGACTAGTTAGTTATTTATGGCGTTTTTTTTTTGCACCTTCTAAAAGTTAAGATTATCAAGCCAGTTAAGACTACCTTTGTTTAATGATGGAAAATCTTAAGGACTTTTGGTTGTACTTCCTTCTTAGTCAATTACCCAATGTTAAATTTGCACTGTTTAGTAGTGTTAGCTTGGATAACTTACACAATAATGAAATTAAATTTTGCACTGACAGAATAGAAATATTTTGTTTCAACCTAGAGAAGGAGAAACAAACTCGCTTTTAAAAGCCTGGGATTCTCTGTTGCTATACATAACAGAGAAAGTGAATAATTTTTAAAAACCTTTCTGAAACTCCATATGTGTCCTTTGACTTATCAAACGCCATCCATTGTCTGCAAGGATCACCCAGGTGTGGATATAAATTACAGGCAGGCTCCTGACCTGAGTAATTTCAGCATTTTCTGTTTTCTTTTGTTTCAGATTTCCAGCATCTACAGTATTTACCTTTTTTAGTAATAGAAAAAAATAGTTAAGAATGGCACACTCTGTGGGGTGTACTATGAAAGATTTTCTTGACTTGTGTCCCAGTGCATCAGCACTTTGAAATGAACCCTATACAGTCTCCATTATCTAACGTAACTCCGTATGATCCATGAGAGTGATTCAAAACTGCTCAATATTTGTAGTACCAGGATTTAAAGTCACCATCTTTGTTTGCTGCTTTGAAAAAGGGTGACTTGGTGACCCAGTGGTTTGATTCCAGACTTGGGTGACTGTGTAGAGTTTGCACATACTCTCCTCATGTCTCTATGGGTTTCCTCCCATATCCAGGTTAGGTGGATTGTCCATGCTAAATTGCCCTGTAGCGTTCAGGGCTGTGTAGGTTAGGTGTATTAACCATGGTAAATGTGAGGCTATAGGGATAGGGTGGGGGATCTGGGTAGGATACTCTTCAGAGTGGCGGTGTAGACTCTGGGCTATTTGGCCTCTCTGCACTGTAGGGATTCGATGACTCAAAACTGCAAATGCAAGTCTGCCACCATCAAGTATACATACACAGGTAGATGTGGATGCTTGAATGGGTCTTCGATTTTTTTTTGTATCTACTTTTCCCATTTTATTCTGCATGCTTGAGGCAGCAAGACCAATTCCCAATGTTGTATTTGGCAGAGATTGATGGATATGAGATTAGGGACCTTTTGAGTTTAACTCAGTGCAACGCAACTCGCACATGTCCTCTGAGCCATCAGTCATAATTACTGGGGTTAGTGTTGTTAATGCATGAGACTTTGGCATTGCAGTATTAATTTTTATTGTAATGTTTCAGTTAGTTGATGACCAAACAGTGTCAGATATTCTTGTCATCAGTTCGGACAGCTTTGCCATGGTTGCACAACATGCAAGCTCTTTGAACAAAGCCCTTCCTGTTACGTTCTGTGGCTTTTACAGGAATTTTGCTAACTCATTTTTGAGATTCACTGACATCATGCACCCAGACATTTCCTGTAATTGTAGACGATTAACATTTTGCAACAAAATATGGATGGCCAGCTGATCTGAGCATTCAGAGTTTATTGTTATTACTCTCTTTGCAGAAGTCTACCAGAGTTGCCCCCTAAGAACCCTTTTTTCAGTGCCAGTAATGTTCAACATGTTGAGCAACGCTGTCAAGGCCTCCAAGAATTTTTAGAGAAGTAAGTACTAGCTACACAGCTTAATGTTGGTTCATGGTTTGGCACTGCAATGAGTTTAATTGTTTCTCATACATGACATGAATTGAAACTTTTTGAAGTAACCAGTTTAAATTGTATTTCCATTTGGACAGGACTGAAACCCTTAGCCTTGTCAGCATATCAGGTAAAGTTTCAGTATTATTACAATTCTTTTGCGGAAATGAATGTTGCTGGAAAAGTCAGCATTTATTGCCCAGACAACAAG